GTTAACTTTTGAATTTTATTGCGAAATATTTTGTAGGCCACTTTCTCAATAAATTCTATACATATATTTATATTCGCTTATGGCGCTCTTTAAATTCCACACATACATCCCGGCAATGTGCTTAATAAAAGCTCATAAAATTTCATTTATCTGAGCCAGAGAAGAACTCAAAGTCCCTCCTGGCATGCGGAAAAAATCTGCGTCAAAAATATATGAGGCAACATGAAATTTTCATAACTTAAGCATCAGCATTCAATATACATATGTATATGTATATATATATATTGCATTCACCTACACAAGGCACAGCCAGCAGCATCTGCATATTGAAAAATTGAATTTTTATGTAATAAAGACAAGGAAAAAATTGCTGAGAGGATTTAATGAAAATATTTGCATATATGTATGTAGTGTATTCCGGTCAGACCATATTTGCAATTATGCAGAAAAATTAAAGAGGCAAACAAATAATATTAATGCGAGTTGAATAAATAAAGAACAGCGGATTTTGCGGGGCTTACAACTCCACTTATTAATCATAATTATAGTCTTAAGTTCTGATTTTCCAATTACTTCACAATTAATTGACTTGGCACGAAGATACCATTATTTATAATGACATATCGTGGGTAATTTGCATTGCAATCTCACTGAAAAGGCCCAGGAAAGTAATCATTGCCCTGCAACCCAAAAAACCCAAAAAAGAAAAATTCATAGTTATAAAATGTCAAAGGAATATGCTCATCTGGCAAATGCAAGGCCTTTAAGCAAAGCATAAATATTAATAATAAGGATGCTGAAAATGATTTGCATTTAATGTCGGTCTTGCTGCAGGATTTTCCACAAGTTTTAATTAAAATGTCGTCACATGGAAACCCAAATACAACTGAGTAGGCAATTAGCAATGTTTTGCCATAAATTAAATTCAAAATTGTGCCCAAACATTTGCTAATTTCAACTGCGGAAGGACTGCGAGTGCAAAGGGTTTGCCATTTTATCACATACACACACTCAACACACACCATGTGTGCCCAGTATGCAAAGCGAGTTGTCAACCTGCAGGAGCAAATGAGCATAATTCTTGCGCACAGATAATTCCCAGTCAAGGCAACAAAATTATAAACCGAAACACAAACAAGACTGGGGACAAGGGAAAGTTTTCATCTGTGTTGTCCCACACAGGATAGGATTCCTAAGTAAATTGATAAACAGACACACTTGTGTCGAGAAACTGTGAGAAAATTTCACATAATGTTAGTACCTAAAAGGTCGTTTAATGTATTAGCTATATTTAATTAAATATATAATGTTGATCGTTTTCGGAGCTATATAATATTCCTTAGGGCATTTCCATTAACAGCAAACTATATATATTATTATTATCGATCGATCGTTTTTACCGCAGCTATATAATGTATATATATATATATACATATATACTTTTGCACAAAATTCTAGATTACTATATAATTAAATAACAGATGAAAATCGATTGAAAACTCGAAAAGTTGTACATTTTCTTACAATTTTCCGATTGTTCCTATGGCAGATATATATAAATATGTATATATATAGTCCACGTATTCGCTATGCTCCGACTTATATACTAGTTAAATAATATAGAAGAATAACCCCATAGTTTCATTGAAATAGCTTAAATTCGTTCCATAATAAAACTCGCGCATCTATGCATATGATTCCCAACTGGTTCTAACATCCGCGGAACGAAGTGACTGCTGCCGGACGAGTCTCAGACATGTGTTGTGTTCAAAAGTTGCAAGTCATTGTTTATTAGTGTTCAAAGTTAGTAACTGCTAATAGATACTTACTACTAATAAATACTTACTGCTCAGAGTTAATTAATGTTCATTGACACTTACTGATCATAGTTAATTTCTGATCATAGCTATTTACTGGTCATAGCTACTTACTGATAATAGTTACTCACCGGTGATAGTTACTTAATGTTCATTGCTACTTACTGGTCATAGGTAATTACTGATTATAGTTCTATAAATCTTCCGATTGTTTCTATAGCAGCTATATATATATATATATATATATAGTCCACCGATTCGCCATGCTTCGACTTATATGCTGGTAAAATAATATACAAGAATAACTTCTTAGTTTCATTGAAATACCTTAAATTTTTTGCAAAAAAATCTTGCGCATCTGTGAATATGATTCCCAACTGGTTCTAACGTCCCCGGAACGAAGTGACTGCTGCCGGCCGAGTCTCAGACATGTGTTGTGTTCAAAAGTTGCAAGTCATTGTTTATAAGTGTTCAAAGTTAGTAACTCCTAATAGATAGACTGGTTATAGATACTTACTGCTCAGAGTTAATTAATGTTCATTGACACTTACTGATCATAGTTAATTTCTGATCATAGCCATTTACTGGTCATAGCTACTTACTGATAATAGTTACTCACTGGTGATAGTTACTTAATGTTCATTGCTACTTACTGGTCATAGGTAATTACTGATTAGCTACTTACTGATAATAGTTACTCACTGGTGATAGTTACTTAATGTTCATTGCTACTTACTGGTCATAGGTAATTACTGATTATAGTTCTATAAATCTTCCGATTGTTTCTATAGCAGCTATATATATATATATACATATATAGTCCACCGATTCGCATGCTCCTACTTATATGCTGGTAAAATAATATACAAGAATAACTTCTTAGTTTCATTGAAATACCTTAAATTTTTGCAAAAAAATCTTGCGCATCTGTGAATATGATTCCCAACTGGTTCTAACGTCCCCGGAACGAAGTGACTGCTGCCGGCCGAGTCTCAGACATGTGTTGTGTTCAAAAGTTGCAAGTCATTGTTTATAAGTGTTCAAAGTTAGTAACTCCTAATAGATAGACTGGTTATAGATACTTACTGCTCAGAGTTAATTAATGTTCATTGACACTTACTGATCATAGTTAATTTCTGATCATAGCCATTTACTGGTCATAGCTACTTACTGATAATAGTTACTCACTGGTGATAGTTACTTAATGTTCATTGCTACTTACTGGTCATAGTAATTACTGATTAGCTACTTACTGATAATAGTTACTCACTGGTGATAGTTACTTAATGTTCATTGCTACTTACTGGTCATAGGTAATTACTGATTATAGTTCTATAAATCTTCCGATTGTTCTATAGCAGCTATATATATATATATACATATATAGTCCACCGATTCGCATGCTCCTACTTATATGCTGGTAAAATAATATACAAGAATAACTTCTTAGTTTCATTGAAATACCTTAAATTTTTTGCAAAAAAATCTTGCGCATCTGTGATATGATTCCAACTGGTTCTAACGTCCCCGGAACGAAGTGACTGCTTCCGGCCGAGTCTCAGACATGTGTTGTGTTCAAAAGTTGCAAGTCATTGTTTATAAGTGTTCAAAGTTAGTACTCCTAATAGATAGACTGTTATAGATATTACTGCTCAGAGTTAATTAATGTTCATTGATACTTACTGATCATAGTTAATTTCTGATCATAGTTACTTACCGGTCATAGCTACTTACTGATAATATTTACTCACTGGTCATAGTTACTTAACATTCATTGATACTTACTGGTCATAGGTAATTACTGATTATAGCTCTATAAATCTTCCGATCGTTCCTATGGCAGCTATATATATATATACATATATAGTCACCGATTCGCCATGCTCCGACTTATATGCTGGTAAAATATATACAACAATAATTCTTAGTTTCATTGAAATACCTTAATTTGTTCCAAAACAAATCTTGCGCATCTGTGCATATGATTCCCAACTGGTTCTAACATCCCCGGAACGAAGTGACTTCTGCCGGCCGAGTCTCAGACATGTGTTGTGTTCAAAAGTTGAAAGTCATTGTTTATTAGTGTTCAAAGTTAGGAATAATCATACATATGTACTTACTGGGCATACTTACTGGAAAAATGTATATATATTATTATCTACGAAATTTTTAACAAAAATTTATATCAAAGTTTTAAAAGCTTTGTTGTACTTATTTTTCCTCTCTGTACATTTGTACAAGTGTATATATGGGCTGTTAAACGGCTCAAGTTTTGTCGCATCCTTGGCACAGCTGCTGCCTGAGATTTGTGTGTTGTCCTCAGGTTTGTCCTGTGGTCCGACGGTCTCTCTGCATTTATTTAATTAAAGCGCACTGGTTTTGTTGTTGTCTGTTGTTATTGGTGCAATTATAAATGATATATGTAATTTACTAGCTGCCTGACATCTCAGCTCTCTGATATGTCTCATTGTCAGTGACTTTGTTTGCACTTTCTCCGGTCGTGCCATTGTTCTTCGAGTAGTTCTTCCCCGGTCTCTGTGTATTTGCCCAACCTGCCATATTAAATCATCTGTGTACTTTGAGTCAACTCAGGCGGAATGAGGGTCTTTTGTGGGGCAATTTGAAATTCATTTGGAGGAGTTCGAACAATTCCGGCGGCCACAATAGGTGTTGTGCAGCATTACCAGCGGTAATAATGGTTAATTATGTGACTGAGTACATGGGAACAAGAGGTTTAAATGGGCTGAAAATAATATTCCACTCGAATTCATTTGCCCATCGCATTACCTCGAACTTAGGTCCTGTGATCAAATGGAAAATCCATGAATATCAAATAAATTACATCATCGCACATGCAAATAAAAATCAAATGGAAACCAAAATATCCTGGCCTGCTTAATATGCGAAACGCGTTTCCCACGCACATGGGAAAATGCAAAAAGAAGGAAAACGAGGGTAGGCTCTTAAATAAAAGGCAAACAAAATGTTTGTCGCCTCAATAAGAGGCGTCAAATTGTTGCTCTGTCTGGTGAAAAAGTTTTCCTCATTGTGTCTAGTACGTGATAATTGAGCAGACAAAACGAAGTACCAACTCTCTCCTAGTGTCGAATTTAAAATTGAGGAATTTAACCGAGCGAAATGGTGTTTTTCTCCTAATAAAAACTCTCCTCCTATATCCGACAGTCACCAAATTCATACGCATTGGCATCGCCGATAAAAACGATAATCCGCCCTATTTCGACAAATCGCTGTATGAGGCCGAAGTGGATGAGAACGAGGACATTCAGCACACAGTGCTCACTGTAACCGCCAAGGATCACGATGAGTGTAAGTAGAGGACTCTCCAGAAATATGCCCAGAAATTCCGCAATTATTATCTTACACACACATTTTTCTCTCTCTCTTCTCGTTTTTCCTGAATTTTTTCCCCAAATATTCTTTTTGCGGTCCTCTCCCTCACAGCCTCACGTATCCGCTATGAAATTACAAGCGGCAACATTGGCGGCGCTTTTGCGGTTAAAAATATGACGGGTGCCATTTATGTAGCTGGCGCTTTAGATTACGAAACTCGACGCAGGGTAAGTAAAAATGAAAAAAAAAGGAAAACCCAACAACAGAAAAAAAAAATGGTACAGAAAGAAAACGCGTACACAAAAAATGAAAAATGTAAAGTGGAAACCCGTAGAGGAGTCCTCTGTAATCGACAAACGTTCTTCCACAGCGCAAAAATATATTTATGACATAAGCGTTGCGGGCTTAGTCAACTGTGAGATTTGTTTATGTCATTGGAAAGCTCAGAATACATAAGGGACAACAGGGATTATGATCCAGCAAGGATCCAGGATAAAAATTACAGAATTTTTAAAGCTTGAAACGTAGTCACTTTGCTAGCAGCTTCCCTTCTTCTTGGCCAACTATAAAATTCATTAAGAAACTCGCTGGCAGGTTTCCGTCTCCTTTTGAATTTCAATTTACACGCTCCGCGGGGCTACTTAAATATTTAATAGTTCAAACAAGTTTCTGAACATGCGCTGCGGTCAAGAAGTCAAATACCGAAAGCCAGGGAAGGAAGGGATAGAGAAATCCTGGCGAACCATTAATTGAATTGCAATTCGAACAATTCGAACAATAAAGTCGTGCCATTCTCGTGACTTTAATTGAAATGCGGCTGGGGAAAAGTTTCAGCCAAGGCCTATGCAAATAGTTCATGTAATTTAGAATTTGTAATAAATGCAGAAAGTCAGAAAGTCATGGATAGGAGTGAGTGTAAAAAGATATACTATTGAATAACAGCTAATTAATGATGATGTATTTAATATTGAAAATTTTGGGGAAATGTAGGAAAAGTATATAGATTATAGATGTTAATGTATATTTAAATTGCAAATTCCCATCCCGTTCAGTATGAGCTGCGCTTGGCCGCTTCCGATAACTTGAAGGAGAACTACACCACTGTGATTATCCATGTCAAGGATGTGAATGATAATCCCCCCGTGTTCGAACGACCCACTTATCGAACCCAGATTACCGAAGAGGACGATCGTAATTTGCCCAAACGCGTCTTGCAGGTCAATGAATGAAAATGAAAATGGATAGAAACTTTAGTTCTGAACTTTTGATTTGTTCTGTTCTGTTTTTAGTAGAGTTTTCATTACGCTGTTATTGTTTGTATATGAGGCACAAAGTCCAAACAACGTTTTATGTTTCCCTAGATTTTATTGCATGTGATGAGTTTTTGTTTTGAAGTTTTCCACCCCATGTCCCACCCCTAAAAACTCTGCCTGAGCCACAGCATTTTATTGCACAACGAGCCCAAGCACAAATAGAATTTTTAGAAATTTATAGTGAAATGTTCGCTAAACTATTTATTGGACTCTCTCATGATTTCGGAATTTATCATTTGGATTTTATTTCCCCTTTCTGATGCTCTGGGTATCTATGGCAAATATTTATATTTATTTCAATTGTCCACATGCCCAGAGTGTTTGCAATTTTTTTGCCTGTCTCCTCAGCCACTCAATAAATTGTTGACATATTAAAGGCATTTACTGCCGTGCAATATTAATGGACTTTGCAATCCCTATTTTTTATGTTTGTGCTACACTTGTTTTTTCTCTTGAGAATACTTACAATCAAAAATCCAATACTATACATGTTTTTAAGTATAGCGAATGTAACATAAATATTTAAAGCCATTTGCATGCTTCATTCCCCGCTTTCGTTTGATTTAAGGCTGCTGATGGAAAAAAATGACGAAAAGTAATTGAACAATTAAAAAATGCTGTCCTCTCTAGAGTGGACAAATGTAAAATGCGGGCTCGAAAAAATGTTTAAAATTTATTTACAGAGTACACACACAGCCGCGGAGTCGTTTGTAATTGGCAAAGCATTTAAATTTGCGGTTGCTGGAAAAAGTTTATAGCAATAATATTGATTTATCATTAAGCACGCCACATCGGGAGCTGAAAAAAAACAAACCGTATTTTAATCAGAGGATGACTTGGAAATATGTCGATTATCATGCTTAAAATTACTATGCAGCTTGTAATGCATAATTGAATAAGTCGATTAAGTTATTGCATTTTAATGAGTAAACAGCGCACGATTGAATATGGAAAATGCAAATTCAGCTGCGAGTCAAGGCCTAGAGATAGTTCAGTAAAACCATCTAGATAATAGAGACCATCTTGGACATTTGTAAATTATTACGCCGGCTTACAATTTTTTCGTTGAGCCAAAAAAAAAACATATAGTTTTACGTTACCCTTTCAGTAATTTATGAGCATTTAAAATTTATTGTTTAATTTTGTTTGTTTTCCACTCTCTTTTTGTTTCCTCCCACCCACATCCACCCACCAATGTTTTGCGTTGGCCATATATTTTATTTAATGTTTGCATAAAGTACGAACTGAAATTGGTTGCCTCGGACAGTTTGAATGAAAATCAAACAACAATCGTCATAAATGTGCGCGATGTCAACGATCTGCCGCCGCAGTTTCCGCAGACGTCCTACGAGCGAACCTTCGACGAGGGAATGACCGACACGCCCTTTACCATCATGCAGGTCGCTATGGCTATATTATTTATCACAACTCAGTCCTGTACATAATACCACATGGCATACGGCATATAGCGAATAAACAAAGCAGCTACCCTCTCGTTAACAATTAATTTAACCCAACAACAACCGAGCGACACAAAATCTCATTCAATTTCATTTCACATGTAAACTTTTGTGTAAAACCAGCCATAACAAAAAGTATATATAATGAATAATAGTCGTTTGTGAGGTGTAATATTCGAATAATTGTGTAAATTAAAACGAGGGTCCATCCTCTAATAATAACTCTATAATGATGTAGGATTTTACTAACAACCCAAATAGTGAAATATTGTATTTCCTGTTTCCCCGTTTCAATCAGTGAATTTTAAATTTAAACAAAATCCCTGCGGCATTTAATTGCCAACGTAAATATTGTGCAGACTTTTCACATTTTATAACACGCAAACACTGTTCAATTTTTCCAATAGCCATTTTCCGTTGTTTCCTACCAAAAGCTGTTAATTAAATTCAATATGCTCTTTAAGTATTAATGCCATACATTTGCACGATTAAGCCCGATCCGCCGCCCAGATTTTCTGCTGTGGTTTATTGTATTTCACTTGTGGCTAACTGGTGGCCCCCAACTAATTTAATTAAAATAAACGTGGACGAAGCTTAAGGCCAACAAAGGGAATTAATTCAATCTGTCAGCACTCAAGCTTTGATTTTATTTACATTTTACTAACCGTTAGCAAATATTGTTTTATTTACCACGTCTTTCTGTGTTTTCACTCAATTCTAACAATAATATTTTTTCAATGACCAAACTCAATACCCGTCAGTGTTTGTTGAATAAATCATAATCCATCGAAACTAAAGTTTGGTTTTCTGTTAAGCAGAAAAAAGTTTGAAATGAATGTAAAAAGCCAAATGGTAATTAAACAGAATAAATACCACTGACTAGTATTAATGGGAATGTGAAAAAATATGCTTAATAAAAACTAACGAAAGTATGAAATAGTTCTTTTTATGTTTACACTTAGTTTTTGTTACAATTCTTTGTCCTTGGTGGTAGTGCATGGCATGTTTGCTTTTTTTCTCTGTGATTTAATGCTGCATTTTTGTTTGTTTATTTAATTTGATTTTTACTCTTTTTTTATACTGAAATTCCCGACCGTAAATAATAAATATCTGTATTTATTTGCCGCTGTGGTTGAACAGGTTACGGCCACAGATGGCGACAAGGATCGTCCCCAGAACATCGTGTACTTCCTCACGGGCCAAGGCATTGATCCAGATAATCCGGCCAATAGCAAGTTCGACATCAACCGCACCACCGGCGAAATATTCGTATTAAAGGTAAGTCATAGGCGAAAACAATGCCACAATTTAAGCATTAACAAATTGCCAATGGGCGTACCAGTGCGTGCGGAAAAATGCTCCTGTGTTCGTATATAAATAAGTAATAAATGAAATGCGGCATTTTAAAATCCATGCCGGCCAAGGCCGCAGCTGGACAGAAACTGAAAATAATGGCGAAATTTTCGAAATATGCTCTCGCTGATTAAGCCCCATCAATGTGCACTTAAGCCCGCCGCGAATCAATCCCAATACCAACAAAATGCCAACGTGCGAAAGAGTCTACGTGCTCATTATTTAACATTTAAATGGCAGTTGACGGACAGGAGGACAGAATCCCCTCTTACTAGGGCTATTAAATAAATTTAAAATATGTGAGTCGGTAAAGAAATTTTCACCTTCGAAAAGTTACTGATTGCCCTCAAGGTCCTGTGATTTCTTTGAATCATAAAATCAAAGGCAATTGGGAATAAATATTTAAATTGCATACATTTAAGGGATTTTCCATTAAATATTCACTATAAAAGCATCCACAATAACATCGATTCAAGAGTAAATTAAAACTAATTACAAAATCACAATTGAAAATCCCCATGCCGCTTGCGGGTCGAAATTTTCACTTAACTCTCTCACCAACAAACGAAAAATGTTTGTAGACCCAAAAACTCCAAAGCCAAATTAAATGAAATTCCCATGCGTCCGGCTCAAATAAAAATAATATGTGTACATGCATTCGTACTCACATGGAGTGAAAAACATTTTCGGCCGCACAATTTAGCCATTTTTAGTCCATAGACTATCCTCTCTTTCCACGAATATAATTTTATTTTCCGACTTTCCGCTTAAAATGTTAGAGAATGGGGATGAGGACTTGATAAGGGATAACAAACAGCTGTACCATTTTTATGTATTATTATTTTTGTTGTTTGTTGATGGAAGAGGAACCACGGACCGTGACCCACTCACAACTAATCCCTTAAATTGAATATGTCATAACAATGTTGGCAAATTTGTCATGCAAATTAAAGCGATGACTACGCAGGGTTGTGTGTATATATATTTTTCTTTTATTCTCAACATTAATGGGTACTTTTGGGAGTATTCTGTTAAGAGATGATTATTTGGTATATAGTGGATATTATATTCGTACTGTATATTTAAAGCCACAGGGAAATCAGAATAGTATTTGAAATGAAATGTTTAAAGAACTCTTTATGAAATTAGTTAGAGCATACATTAAAAAAGTAACTAAAAAATGGAGTAAAAGGCACAAGACTTCAGACATCTATATATATAGCTCTTGGTAATTTCATTCCTTGCTAGAAACTAACACGAAACTTTGGTTAAAGGTATTAAAGGTGACATTTCGGTTTACTGAGTAACCTTTTGGTGTAATCCATCACTCGCTATAATTCCATATACGATGCCTTTTGTTGTTGTCGCCTCGTATACGATTTTTTACGACAAATCCAATGTCAGCGCCATGAAAATCTCCTCTTGTTGTCAGTCTGCTGTGGCTGTCACATGTCTGCGAGGGTTAAGGGGCACCGGCGGCGGCCCCTAACAAGGGTTTGGTTTGAGGGCATTATCCAAGGGTTGCCAGCAGCCGCCAACAGATACAAAGTACTGATTAAAATCGTTTTTCTTTTCCCTTTTTTTTGCGCTTTTTATTATTTGCATACGTGTGGGGTTAAGGAATAAGGGTGTGGAGGTGTTAAGGGTGCACAGGTGGGAGCCACACATCACTCAGGCTGCGGTGAATGCATATCAAAGTCACAATCAACATCAGGGACAGGCTTGGGGTTGGGGCTTCCCCGGCTTCCCTTTGTACGGAGGCAGGATAATTTCATGGGTTGAAGAGGTATTCCTGCCCAACCAACAACAATGTTTTTTTTCTCCTGCCCCCATCCAGATGTTAATCGGTTTTGCGTTTATGACAGCTAAAATTACACAATGCCCTCGTGCATATTAACCCATAACAACAGCGTTTTACACTCAAGCCCACTCAGACTCTTTATTATTTTTTCCTACTTTTTTACGCCTTTATAGCCGCTGGATCGCGATCAACCGAACGGTCGACCCCAGTGGCGCTTCACTGTCTTTGCCCAGGACGAGGGCGGCGAGGGTCTCGTGGGATATGCCGACGTCCAGGTCAATCTGAAGGACATCAACGATAATGCCCCCATTTTCCCGCAAGGCGTGTACTTTGGTAATGTGACAGAGAACGGCACCGCCGGCATGGTTGTGATGACCATGACCGCCGTGGACTACGATGATCCCAATGAGGGCTCCAATGCCCGTCTGGTGTACTCCATTGAGAAGAATGTGATTGAGGAGGAGACTGGCTCACCGATTTTCGAAATAGAACCCGATACGGGTGTGATAAAGACCGCCGTCTGTTGCCTGGATCGCGAAAGGACACCAGATTATTCCATACAAGTCGTTGCGATGGATGGCGGGGGGTTAAAGGGGACGGGGACGGCCTCGATAAGAGTGAAGGATATCAACGATATGCCGCCACAATTTACGAAGGATGAATGGTTTACGGAAGTGGACGAAACGGATGGTACTGCTTTGCCGGAAATGCCCATTTTAACGGTGACCGTACACGACGAGGACGAAACGAACAAATTCCAATACAAAGTCATCGATAACAGTGGCTATGGCGCTGATAAGTTCACCATGGTGAGGAATAATGATGGCACAGGCTCCCTGAAAATCGTTCAGCCCCTGGATTACGAGGATCAGCTGCAGAGCAATGGTTTCCGGTTCCGCATTCAAGTCAATGACAAGGGAGAGGACAACGACAATGATAAGTACCATGTGGCCTACTCCTGGGTTGTGGTCAAGCTGAGGGACATCAACGATAATAAGCCCCACTTTGAGAGGGCCAATGTGGAGGTTTCCGTTTTTGAGGACACCAAAGTGGGCACTGAACTCGAAAAGTTCAAGGCCACCGATCCGGATCAGGGAGGCAAGAGCAAAGTGTCCTATTCCATCGATCGCTCCTCGGATCGGCAGCGTCAGTTTGCCATTAATCAGAACGGATCGGTGACCATTCAGCGCTCTTTGGACCGTGAAGTTGTGCCCCGTCATCAGGTCAAGATCCTGGCCATTGACGATGGCTCTCCACCGAAAACCGCCACTGCCACGCTCACTGTCATGTGCAGGACATCAATGACAATGCTCCCAAGTTCCTGAAGGACTACAGGCCTGTGCTGCCGGAACATGTGCCGCCACGCAAAGTTGTCGAGATTCTGGCCACCGATGATGATGATCGCTCCAAGAGCAATGGTCCGCCCTTCCAGTTCCGTTTGGATCCCAGTGCCGATGATATTATTCGTGCTTCCTTCAAGGTGGAACAGGATCAGAGTGAGTACAATTTTATTATATTTTCCATATACATGAAAATAAAGACAGAAGCTTAAATAGGTATCGCTAAGTTTCATTTAATAACTGAATAACTTTGCATAGTTCATTTAAGAATTGATATTCTATGTTAATTTAATCACAGCTCAGAAAATTCCAAGTAACTTTTGGCTATTTGCCCTTCGATTTGGCAATCTGGTTTCCATACACTAACCAATTACTTGCAAATTGCAACACATACTCAACTCGAAGAGGTTATAGGGATCGAAAAATAGTTGCGAGCTGACCAGAAAACTTTGCTGGAATGGAAAAGTTTGCCCAATATTTGGGTCAAAGCTTAAACAATGCACCAGCAGCGAAACATTTTCATTTTTGCAAACCCTTTTCTGGCATGTATCGAAATTTTCTTTGCCAAACTATCGAGGTTGAGAGAGCCAGCCGAGTGTCGCCGACTGCTAACAATAGCATAAAAATGCAATTACCTCGCTCCCTAAAAATAAAAAGAAAACAGGAAAAAGTAGAGGATACCCCGAAATGAATAGCCAGGAATCTTTGGCCATAGAACGGAAACAGCAGACCGCATCGCACATGAAAATTTAAATAATAAAAGCATGGCACATCTGACACACACACAGCCACACACTCGTCGCCCACCTGGGCGAAAAATAAAATGGCAAATGCACAAGTTTTCAATTAAATTACCCCCAGCCACGGGGAGTCTGCCACAAAATCCCAACTACATACCCGTTTGTATGCATCGCAGTACCCTTCGCATTTTTGGGTGAGGAAAAGCCAAGAAAAGAAGTCGAAAAAGTGCCCGAGCAGCAGGAGCAGCAGCAGCAGTCACAATTTGTGTGGGTGGCAATCCAATTTTGATGCCCCAGCTGGGAAATGGGAGAGGCTACAAGTTGGGGCAGCCTGTGACTTTATGCAAACGTTGGAGAGCAGGCTTTCCCAGACTCGTATTTGCATACAATTTGCCTAAAAACACACCATGGAGTGTCTTTAAAAATACATTTCAAATGTGCGTTCTCGCTCTGCTCCTGAGAGATCCTTTCCTCCCCCCTCCCACTCCCATTCCCTGGGGCAGTTGTAGTTTCCATTCCGAGTCCAGACTTAACACTTGTTGGCTCAAAGGCGTAATTACAACAAATGGGCTATTGCAAAAGTTGCATCTGCAATCAGGTGGAAAACGTGCTGGCTAATAAAAGAGCTTAGTTCTTTTGGTTGGTTAGAAGTCTGGGCTTACGGCTAACTGGCAAATGCCTTTGAAGCACCATGTAGCAAGTGGATTTGGGCAGGTCTTTTGGCAGTTACTCGCCGAACAATTTGTAGTTTATTTACCTGTAGACAGATGTTACATATCTGTGATTACCTGGAGACAAAAGAACTAGATGATTTTTGAGCAGGATTTCCTTAATTTAAATAAAAGTTAATCAATCAATATAATCACATTTAATTTCTCCTTTTTTACTCCTTTTTCTACATTTCACAGAGGGTGCCAACGGAGATGGCATGGCTGTTATTTCCTCTCTCCGTTCCTTTGATCGCGAGCAACAAAAGGAATATATGATCCCGATTGTGATCAAGGATCATGGCTCACCAGCCATGACAGGCACGAGTACGCTGACCGTCATCATTGGCGATGTCAATGACAACAAAATGCAACCTGGTTCCAAGGATATCTTCGTTTACAATTACCAAGGACAATCGCCAGATACGCCAATTGGTCGTGTATATGTCTACGATTTGGACGATTGGGATCTGCCAGACAAGAAGTTCTACTGGGAGGCCATGGAGCATCCCAGATTCAAATTGGATGAAGACTCTGGCATGGTCACCATGCGAGCAGGAACTCGTGAGGGACGCTACCATCTCCGGTTCAAGGTGTACGATCGCAAGCACACTCAAACAGATATTCCAGCAAATGTCACAGTTACGGTCAGGGAAATACCTCACGAAGCGGTTATTAACTCGGGATCCGTCCGGTTATCGGGAATATCGGATGAGGACTTTATTCGCGTATGGAACTACAGGACGCAGAGCATGAGTCGCTCGAAGATGGATCGTTTCAGGGACAAGCTGGCCGATTTACTCAATACCGAACGAGAGAATGTGGATATATTCAGTGTGCAGTTGAAGAGGAGACATCCTCCACTCACAGATGTAAGATTCTCTGCGCACGGTTCTCCCTACTACAAACCTGTGAGGCTCAATGGCATTGTCCTGATGCATCGCGAGGAGATTGAGAAGGATGTGGGCATTAACATCACCATGGTGGGCATGATGAGTGTCTGTATGAGAACCAAATGTGCGAAGGCAGCTGCACCAATGCCCTGGAGATCAGTCCTCTTCCCTACATGGTCAATGCCAACAAGACTGCCCTGGTGGGTGTCCGAGTGGACACCATTGCCGACTGTACTTGTGGTGCTCGGAACTTCACCAAGGCTGAATCCTGCAGGACCACACCATGCCACAAGGCGGACGATGCATGGACACTAGATTTGGTCCTCACTGCTCGTGTCCTTTGGGCTACACGGGTCCCAGGTGTCAGCAGACAACGCGCAGCTTCCGCGGTAATGGATGGGCCTGGTATCCGCCCCTCGAAATGTGCGATGAATCCCATTTGAGTCTGGAGTTTATCACCCGAAAGCCCGATGGCTTGATCATCTACAATGGACCGATTGTACCACCGGAGCGAGATGAGATGCTTATATCTGACTTTATTGCTTTGGAATTGGAGCGCGGTTACCCGAGACTTCTCATCGATTTCGGCTCGGGAACTCTGGAGTTGAGAGTGAAGACCAAGAAGACATTGGACGATGGCGAATGGCACAGGATCGATCTGTTCTGGGACACTGAAAACATTCGCATGGTGGTGGACTTTTGTAAATCCGCGGAGATAGCCGAAATGGAGGATGGCACACCGCCGGAATTTGATGATATGTCCTGCCAGGCGAGAGGACAAATCCCACCGTTCAGTGAGTATCTGAATGTGAATGCCCACTGCAGGTTGGCGGACTCTATCGGGAGCAATTCGATCAGAGCCTTACTTCTGGCATACATGCCAACGGCCAAGGGCTTTGATGGTTGCATCCGGAACCTGGTTCACAACTCCAAGCTCTACGATCTGGCCCACCGGGACTCTCCAGGAACAGCGTAGCAGGATGTCCGCAAACCGAAGAGGTTTGTGCCCAAACCGAGACCACAGCTCGCTGCTGGGAGCATGGCAATTGCGTTGGTTCCTGTCCGAAGCACGCTGCCACTGCCGCCCAGGATGGACCGGTCCTGCCTGCAATATCCCCACCATTCCGACCACCTTCAAGGCCCAAGTTATGTCAAGTATGCCCTCAGCTTCGAACCGGATCGGTTTAGTACTCAGGTGCAGCTTAGATTCCGCACGAGAGAGGAGTACGGCGAACTGTTCAGAGTTAGTGACCAGCACAACAGGGAATACGGAATCCTGGAGATCAAGGACGGACACCTGCACTTCCGCTACAATCTGAACTCGCTGCGAACCGAGGAGAAGGATCTTTGGCTGAATGCCATCATGGTCAACGATGGCCAATGGCATGTGGTGCGAGTTAATCGTTACGGCTCAGCTGCTACCCTGGAACTGGACGGAGGCGAGGGTCGCGATACAACGAAACCTTTGAGTTTGTCGGTCATCAGTGGCTGTTGGTGGACAAACAGGAAGGTGTTTACGCTGGCGGCAAGGCTGAGTACACGGGAGTGAGGACCTTTGAGGTCTATGCCGATTACCAAAAGAGCTGTCTCGATGATATACGGTAAGTGTAACTCTTTATTCATTTTATTCATAAGAAAATAGAGTATTTTTTAATTTCTCATTATTGTTTATTAATAAATTGTAATATAATTTAATTTCATAGTTTGGAAGGCAAGCACTTGCCTCTGCCACCGGCTATGAATGGCACCCAGTGGGGTCAGGCCACCATGGCCAGGAACCTGGAGAAGGGCTGTCCCTCAAACAAACCCTGTTCGAATGTGATCTGTCCCGATCCCTTCGAGTGCGTGGATCTGTGGAATGTCTACGAGTGCACGTAAGTGTCTACATCTATCATCATCATCCTTTCCCGAAAACCCTTCCCAAAATACATTTGTAGGCCTTAACCCATTGCTTTTCGTTTCTCATCAAACAAAAAGAAAAATTACCAAAACAAGAAAAATTAAAACCATTCAAATAAATTGACCATTCGGACTGTACTTGACTAACCCAACAAAAAAAACACGAAAAAAAGGAAAAAGAGTTTATCCAAAATGTAGACATAAGCCATGTGTGGTGATAAGAAAGCCCCCGAAAAATCCACAAAGTAAAACCAATACCACATAAAAGGGAACAAGAAAACAAATCACCGGCTTTTGATAAGCAAACAGAGCTAACATTTGATAGGCTTAATCAATTAAGGGCAGAGACCCACACAAAAAAAGAAGGGGAAGTTGGGCAAAAAGCCTGTTGACCGTCCGTCAAAGGAGGTCCTGCCGATGAATCGCAGTCACACTCCCACATCACACACACACACCCACACACACTTCATTCACACACGCGGCACACACAGTCACCTAGTGATTGGCACTAAACGTTGCGTGACAAATCAATCGGCTTAGGCTTACGTTTCCGATTTCGCTTTGACTTCGGCCCAAAGTCGATCCCGGGACCTGTGATTCGAGATTCGAGATGCGAGGTTCGAGTTTCCCGGCGCAAAGAGCATTTGTCCGGCTTGTAATGGTCTTTGTACATATTCACGCTTTTGTTTCATTACACAAAAACGAACAAGAAATTGTAACTAGCTTGGCACAGGTACAACTATAGCTTATCTTTGTTAAACACACACATACTTTTCCCCGTAACAGCACAATGGTGGCTTTAAGCTTTATTCCATTTGCCAATAAATCAAGCAAAGTGCTAACAGGTTTTAAATCCTCTTAATTAATCTTCAACTGTTTGTCTGTGAGCAGGGATTGTTAAGTAACTAGCATTATGATTATTTTAAACTTGTATAATAACTAAACCGAAGCCTTGACATAACCTGGACTTGCCTCGCGAATCTGTAGACATGTAATTCATATACAATTGGAACATCCATTCGATATTTGCCTTTTCGTTTAGCCCACTTTTAGTTGCCATTTTGCTCCCAATTATACTCAAGTAACTTAATCAACTTAATGGTGACTTATCATACGAATAAAATACGAAATAGTTGCGGCGAAGGACGCATTATGTCGCCCGATTCCAAGGGCTGTATGGATCGCAACGAGTGCCTCGATATGCCCTGCATGAACGGTGCCACTTGCATGAATCTCGAGCCCCGCCTGCGGTATCGATGCATATGTCCCGACGGTTTCTGGGGCGAGAATTGTGAGCTGGTGCAGGAGGGTCAGACCTTGAAGCTCAGCATGGGCGCCCTGGCGGCGATACTGGTCTGCCTCCTGATCATTCTGAGTGAGCATCCAACCAGAGTCCCTCTACATAAGATAGAAAAACATAATGAATTCCCCCCGAATGTGCGGCAACAACTCATAGTGTTAAATTATGCAATTAGTGCTTTAGCGAATGCCTAGCCCTTAGTTGTTGTAACTTTATTCGAACTTTATTAGCTGGTTGCAATCACCCCATCAATTTCATGCGTTTCATTCGTCAAATTCCATTTCATTTTCCCCATCAATCTGGCATTTCCAGTGGCTCTGGCCAGTGCACTTGCTTTTATTTTATCATAACCAACCAATCATATCATATTTACCAAATCCAATCATTCGGCATCTAAATCACGACTCACCGAACTCATCTTTAATGAAAGCATATGTATGTGTATATTTGGCACTAGGTTTTTATTGATGCCGCTGTGTCATGTATTCCATTCAAAGGGCATTTCCATATTCATCAACCTATGATTTCATCTCCATACATATTCAATGTTTGTTTTTGGCACATTTTCCGTTCAGCCTTTCACTCAATGTACAAGTTTATAATGTTATTCAATCTGTGTGTATTTCTGTGTGTGTAAATACTATAAATATAATTAAACAAAGGTATGTACCCATATGTAGTGGAATATTTAATTAGTTCTGTGTCTTAAATGAAGAAGCTTAAGCTTCTTGCTGGGGATTTTCCCCGAACTCTGACTCTGTGATACATGCGTTCCATTTAGTGTTTTTTTTTGGCCATACTTTTATCAACTCCCCACATTTCACAATGCACTCAGCCAAGACAAAGAACAAGACCTGAAATGCCCTTCAGGTAAGTTAACAAATGTGCAGTCAAAGATACAGGTTGCCCGTGAGGAGACAGGACCGAGAGGAAGAGCAATTGCAGTTGTTAGCTTTGGCATTTCGAGAAATCACGATGCACTAAATCCACCCCCAAACCGAGCGAATAAAAACGGAAATACAGACAGGAAGCTCAGACAGCTCAAAGGAGCAGGTTGGAAAGTGGCACTAAGAAGCTGCCAGTTCCATTTTGGGCATTGCCTCGCGAGGATTTACTACGTTTCTCCTTTTTCGACTGCATTTTCTTTTCTTTTTTTTGTGTTGCCCCAACTGTTCACGTTAAATGCCGGGTATGTGTGTAAACAGCCAGAAAAATGCCAGTCCCTGGCTTACAGTCCTGACTCCATTTAGAAGCTACCTTTGCTTAACATTTAAAAGTAAATACGTTTGGCTCAAAAAATTGTTTCGTGCCCGAGTCCACTTGGACGAAAACCTAATGACGTAAAATATGGCAAACTTCATAGACGAACGACGAAAAGAAGTGGAAATTTCAGCTAAAATTATCAAGTACCTTACTCACTCACTTCTGATGGGTTTTAACAACGCACTTGGGAGCAATCGAAGGCTGGGATATCCAGCCAAAGGGGAAACGGGAGATCCTTACGATTCAACTGTCCGACTGGCTCTGATTTAGTGTGAAAGTTTTCTCCTGCTTTTGAGGTATTTACTTTATCCTTCTTCTTTTCAAGTTGTTTGCACTTTTTTTTCGTGCATTCCTGCTGTGAGGATTCAATGGTCAGGCCAAGGCATTTGCCAATAACTGTCAATATATCAAAAGTGCTTCGAATCTGCTTTTGAAATGTATTCATTTTTTTCTTTTCAAAGACAGTTCTTAAATGATATTAAATTAAGTAATAGACTGAATCCATCTCAATTCCAGTGGTCTTAAGTCAGAGATATTTCCCATTGCTATTTCACACCTCAATTTGCAAAGTCAACAGACATGGCGAAGTTTTTTTATACCCAACTCAAGGACGAGTGCGAGTGCGTTACCCAAAACTAATCAAAAACAAACTTAAGGACGACGGAGGGAACAAAAAAATAGACATGAAAAGTGCGACAAAATAAAATGAAAACCAACTTAGTCTAAGAATGCAGGATAAAAAACTTTATTCAATTCCGACCAAGAACACAAAAAAATAGTTGCATAATAATCATAAGAGCAAAAATGAAAAGCAACAAAATTGTAGAAAACAGCACTTAAGATGCGTGCTAGAAATAGAAAAGTCGATGAAGGGACGTAGAATGTTTGCGCAATGCAAATGCAAAAAGTTTGTCACACGACCGAAACCGAAACTAAAAAGTCACAAAGCGTGAAATAATAACTACAACTAAAATAGGGGGAAAAAATGGTAAAGTTGCAACGAACGTTTAAAAGGACTTTTTGACAGTTTTTCACACCATAAGGGGATGAGAGAGGATTGCAAAATATTCCATTCTCATAACTATTTAAACGGAGAAAGCGAAGCAAGATAGCACTGAGGAATAACTATGTCTTAAAGCAAGAGTTAAGTCTCAAAATGAATTTTTCTTCCAGTCATAGCTGTTAATGCTGATCAAGAATACATATAAAACATAGGGTCGGAAATAACCCCTTCACAGTGCAATTAGCTTTAGACTGAATTATAATACCTCAAATGGGTCTTAAAATTTAAATATTTATCTCAATTTTATATATATTTTTTTGAAAAAGTAAAGCCTGCAAGACTATACTACAAATAATACATTCTCTATTTAAGAAAGCGATTTCCTCAGTGTAAAGAAAACTTTTCAAGAGCAACTCACACATCCAACATTCACCTCCCCGCACACTTGCATGATGAAAACAAATTTTAAACAAATTCTTTTATTTTTTCAACACCCAATACACCCAACACACACACACATACACACAACAACAACCGTACATCCTACATCCCACTCAAACGAACAACTCGTACAACGCTGCGTATACGTAATGTTACTTTGCGGCACATTACGTATCCGCCATGTGTGCAGGTGTCCGGCGGGCTACAAAAGCTCCGGCAGCACCTGTGTGAACGACAACGAGTGCCTCCAGTTCCCATGCCGCAACGGGGGTCGGTGTCGCGATCATCACCGCCCAAGAAGTACGAATGCCACTGCCCCATGGGCTTCACCGGCATGCACTGCGAACTGGAGTTATTGGCCTCCGGTGTATTGACGCCATCGCGTGATTTTATAGTCGCCCTGGCGCTCTGCCTGGGCACTCTGATATGTAAGTATACCACAAATCCCTCAACCGAAATGGTGGTGGTGTGTGCGAATCCAAGGGCATAACACTTGAGCTTAAGGTTTGAGTAGTTTGTTTAACAAACTGGCTAAGTAAATTCAAAGTTTTGGCCATTTATTGCATGCCACTTTATTGTGAAATTATATGCTTTACTTAATATATTTATAAAAGTATTAGCTAATAAATCGAGCAGTTTTAGTTTAAAATATTTATTATAAATATTCCTTAATTATCAAAGATGACTTACCAAAGATTTATTTTTCAAGTTGAATTAATTTACATTTTAAAGCTGACTTAAAATATTATTTTTAATCCATCTATATTTACCAATTATTTTTCCTTTAAATTACAATTTTCTTATGCCAATTAAAGTTTAATCAAAGTCTGTGCTACCCTTAAATATGATGGCATCGCACGGAAATAAATTAATTAAGTCTTACAATCAGCCATCTGCAATGACCGGAAACGACGGGATCCCGGCAAGCAAACATGTCAAGTAATTTCCGCAAATTACATGACGCAACAAAGTCGTTCCATAAATTAAAGTTTATTGAATGGTCAGCAGGAAATTTTTGCATATCGATAAGGCCGCTACAGTGATAGCAAAGAGCCATGAAAATCAGAGTACAATTAAACTTCCTCTTTCGAATGGCGAATGCGTATTTGACTAACACAATAATTGCAATTACACGCTGGCCAGATGGCAGAACAACTTTCGGCAGACGAAGAAGCCGCAGCAAATTACTTAACGTCAACTCGCTTGCGTTGCGGTGGCAATTTCCACGGACTTGGATTCCCGAAAAACTTTTCTTTTCCTTGGAATTTTCTGTTGACTATGCAACAGATGCTGTCTACTTTTCGCAATATGCTGAGAAGCGCGATGGCCAAATTAGAAATGCTACGCGGAGACAGCGTCTGCAACTTGATTTGCCATTTCCGTTGACCAGAAAACTGGGACAATATTTTCTATATTTGTTTTCTTTCTTATTTCTTTTTCTCTTTGTTTTATTTTTGCCTGATTCTGTTTTTTATATTTCCATCTATTGTTTTTTTTTTTCGTTCGTTGCTCTGTTCTCCTTTTCGGTTCTACAATTTATTAAGAATTTTTTTGCAACTGAGCGAGATATATATTCGCGATTCCCTTTTCCAGCTTTGAGGAAGAGAAGTATAACTGAAATTGCTCTGCATGTTAAATTAAGTGTAGCTTAATGCACTTTGTAAACCCAACGAGTTGTTGTTGACTACTTCAGGATGGGATATCTTAGCCGAAATCGTATTTTAATATTGCTTAATTTCAACCATTCGCAGTACTCGTCTTGGTGTTTGTCGTGTACAACCGTCGCCGTGAGGGCATATCAATATCCGGGACCCGATGACGATGTGCGCGAGAATATTATAACTATGACGACGAGGGTGGCGGTGAGGACGATATGACCGCCTTTGAATCACACCGCTGCAGATACCAATTGGAGGGCCAATGCCACCGGAGTGGCGCCCATGAAATGCCAATAATGTGTAGTATTTCCTTTGAAGTGATGGAATTGGGGCAAGAGATATAGGGCATTAGATACAAGACATTTGAGATCTGAAACATTATAGTTGTGGGAATATTAAAGTTATGTTGATTTTAAATATAACCTTTAGGTGATTTTTTTAATTATTTCTTTATTATTTGTTTATTTTTAGATCCCGTGATGACCTTAATGCCAGGTCAGGAGCCCAACGTGGGCATGTTCATAGAGGAGCATAAAAAGCGCGCCGATGGCGATCCAAATGCTCCTCCCTTCGATGATCTAGGACTATGCATACGAGGGTGGCGGCAGCACAGCCGGATCCCTCAGCTCGTTGGCCTCAGGTAAGCCAGGGAAATTTGAAGGTTACGAATAGCATTTGCACCCAATATACTGCGTTAGTCACGAATCTAGAACCGAAGCCTGAGAAGCCCCAAAAAGTAGGCTACTTAGAACGGCACTAATAGCGTGCCAATCTGTCCTGCTGCTTCTGACTCATCATCTTTTCTGACATTTTCAGGCCAACGGGTCTCAGATACAGCTGAATATTGGGTGTAAATTTAGATGAAAATATAAGCATTTATGGTATTTTGCACGGAGAAAAACTTGTCTTTCCTAAAAGTATTACTCTTTGAAACTGTCCAATAAACACGCAATTTTCTCTAAAAGTATAAAGATTATTCGAATTAATTGATTTTTGTGTGTGTGTTTCTTTATTTATTGCAGGCACTGATGACGAGCAGCAGGAGTACGACTACCTCGGAGCCTGGGGGCCACGCTTCGATAAGTTGGCCAACATGTACGGACCCGAGGCGCCCAATCGCACAATACCGAGCTGAATTGTAAGCGGGGAAAGGCCAAGAGTAAGGTGGAACAGAGAGGAGACCGAATCCAATCCGAGACGGATACCTAGATGAACAAACTAAACTGTTAGTAGATACAAAGTTGCATTTAAATCGAAATGAAATCCCCACACAAGAGGATAACTCTCACACACACTCAAAGAAGCGCAACCAAAGAAGCATCGCAATGCTGAAAAGTTGGCAAACTCTCTACGTAAATGGAAACTAAGAAATAGAAACTAAAAGGGAATGGGAAATGGAAATGGAAACGGAAGTGGAAGTGAAAGTGGATATGGATATGGGTATGGAAGTGAAGGAAAATCAAACACATATTATGACACGTAAATGACATTTGTAAAATATTTCATCAGCATTTAAATTTAAACAATTACGATAATGAGATTAGTTATTAAACCAGCATTTTTGCGGGGCAGTTAAGGAGAAATTAAGAGAAAAGAATGTGGAATTGTAAGGCGTAGGAGAGAGCATACCAAAGTTTAGTTTAGGAGCGCTTATGAATTTATAACCTTAATTCTCAAACAGAGTTTTGTTGTGCATATTTTTAAGTTGTAATTATTATTTTTAGGGATTTTTCTGTTTATAGTGTGTGCGGCCTATGTGAGAGTCATATAGCTATTAGGTCACTGGACAGTCTCAACGCCCTTAATTTATCTATACCCTAAGTTCATCGTTTCAATTTCGCGTTACTTTCTAAGGATTACAATTAAAAAGAATTAAAATCTTATATAAAGGAATACCCAAAGACTGTTTTCGTTCCATCATAACAAGTATATACATTAAACACGAACATATATATATATATATTATTATTAACTTATAAACATTACGAATTTTTAACTTCAAATCGAACGGCATTTTGCAAGTTGTCGCATTGTGTGTCATTCAATTTCAAATCGAGCACAATCGGCGCCCCCTTTCCAATGCCAGATGCCAGAGGGAAATCTGAACCGAAGAAAATACTCCTAAAACGATATTCTAAAGGCAGAAAACTTAAGCTAAATCTCCAGGCAAAACAAGTCTAGCCGATGGAATGCTAGCACAGTAAAGTAAAGATTAAAATTAATGGCAAACAAAAAAAAGAAAATTACCTTTAGATGAACTTAGCGCAATTGATATAATTAAAGGGAATGCATGAAGGAAAACAAAGAAAACAAAATGGTATATATATTAATGATGGAAAAATTAAATAGTATTTTACATTGTATATATTATTAGTTTTAGCACGTATACATAAAATGAAACACCACAATATTAAACCATGTGAAACCACAAGTCATTTGAACTAGAGTGGAGGATCTAACTGGAGCCGCATTCAAATAAAATAAAATCCTCCATATACATAAATCCAAATCTAACTGCATTTAAAAACCACTCTTTCCACACGACAAAGCAAGCGTTTTTTTCGCCAATCGATTGATTTTA